ATGACATCCGACTTTCACTGGAAGTCTCACAATTTCAGTCGGATCGGTGTGACCGGGGACTTAGTGTGCAGAATTAATAGGCAACTAAATGAACATTTTCCCATCTCAAGTGTTTATTTTCATCTGTTAAAGTGACAATAATAAACAAGCGACTCAAAATGTACAAATAAACATTTATGACATTAAAAAAAGAAAAATCAGTGCCCAATATAGCCACCCTTCTTTTTAATAGCAGTCATAGGCTTTCCATTCATGGAGTCTGTCAGTTTCTTGATCAGTTGATCAACTTTTTCTGCAGCAGCAACCACAGCCTCCCAGGCACTGTTCAGAGAGGGGTACGGTTTTTCTTTACCGTAAATCTCCTGTTTAAGAAGGGCCCACAAGTTCTCAATAGGGCTTAGCTCAGTTGAAGAAGGTGGCCATGTCATTATTCTTTCATCTTTAAGGCCTTTACTGGCTAGCCACGCAGTAAAGAACTTCAATGCATGCGATGGAGCATTGTCCATAATTATCATGGTCTTCTTGAAGGATGCAGACTTTTTCCTGTACCATTGCTTGAAGAAAGTGTCTTCAAAAAACTGGCAGTAGGGAGTGATTTTGAGTCCATCTTCAACCCGAAAAGGTCCATCCAACTCATCTTTAATAATACCAGCCCATTCCAGTACCCCACTTCCACCTTGCTGGCTTCTGAGTCAAAGTGGAGCTCTGTGCCAGTTACTGATCCAGTTACGGGCCCATCCATCTGGTCCATCAAGATTCACTCTCATCTCATCAGTCCATAAATCCTTTGGAAAATCTGTTATTTCAGATATTTCTTGGCCCAGTCTTCAACTTCTGTGTCTTGTTCAGCTGTGGTCAGGTTTCAGCCTTCCTCACCTTGGCCATGTCTCTGAGCACTGAACACCTTGTACTTCTGGGAACTCCAGGTAGGTTGCAGTTGGAATATGACAACACTGGAGGATAATGGGTTCCTGGTAGCTTCACGTTTGATTCTTCTCAAATCTTTGTCAGTTAATTTGCATCTTTTTTTCTCAACACGTTTCTGGTGACCCTGTTGACTATTTGCAATAAAACGTTTGATGGTTCTGTGATCACGCCCCAATATCTTAGCAATTTCAAGAGTGCTGCATTCCACTGAAAGAATTTTTACAATTCTTGACTTTTCCCCGAGTCAGTTAAATTTCCTTTTGGCCCATTTTGCCAGAAGAAAAAGAGCTGCCTAAAAAATATGCACACCTTGATATAGGGTGTTGATCTCCTTAGGCCACACCCTCCCTTAGTACAAGAATACACATCACCTGATATGCGTAAATCCAATAAGCATTCACGTTTATACAGCTTGGAATTGGACAATGTGCATAAAAATGACAATTTGGTCAAAATACTCACTTGCCTAATAATTGTGCACACATGGTACGTCTTTATGGAGCGAAGGTGTTCACGAGGGTTGAGGTCAGGGCTCTGCATAGGCCATTTGAATTCCTGAACACCAAAATGGTCCAACCACACCTTTATAGACCAAAGGTGTTCAGTAAGGTTGAGGTCAGGACTCATACAGGACATTGGAGTTCATCCACACCAAACTGGCCAAACCATGTCTTTATGGGGCTGGCTTTGTACACAGGGGCACAGTCATGGTGAAACAGAAAGTGGTCTTCACCAAACTGTTACCACAAGGTTGAAAAAGCACAATTGTCTACAATGTCTTTGTATGATGGAGTATTAATTGAACCCTTCACATGGAGATACCTGAGCAATGTCATTTAGAAGGGGATCAGTGACAGTAATGAGGTCTAGGCACCCCCAAAACTGAATAAGATAATTTTGCTTGTGGAAGTCAGAATTCCATAAAACCCCCCACCAGGAATTCCATTAAACGTTCCTAGCAAAAGTTCTACAATCCTCAGTATCATGAATTACACCGCTGACAGCAATATGTGACAACAGTTTCTGAGATCTGACACCACTCTTGTCACAGGGTCCATATAGTTTTGGCCGTATAAGACAGTGGCTTGTGGACACATACACTATATTGCCAAACGTATTGTGCAGCCGGCTTTTACACGCACACAAACTTCAATGGCCCCCCAATCTTTGGCCGTAGGGTTCAATATTGAGTTGGCTCCGCCCTTTGCAGTTATAACAGCTTCAACTCTTCTGGGAAGGCCGTCCACAAGGTTTAGGAGGGTGTCTATGGGAAGGTTGGACCATTCTTCCAGAAGCACATTTGTCAGGTCAGGCACTGATGTCGGGGGAGGAGGCCTGGCTCGCAGTCTCCGCTCTAATTCATCCCAAAGGTGTTCTATGGGGTTGAGGTCAGGACTCTGTGCAGGACAGTCAAGTTCCTCCACCCCAAACTGGCTCCTCCATGTCTTTATGGACCTTGCTTTGTGCACTGGTGCGTAGTCATGTTGGAATAGGAAGGGGCCATCCCCAAACTCTTCCCACAAATTTGGGAGCATGAAATTGTCCAAAATGTCTTGGTATGCTGACGCCTTAAGAGTTCCCTTCACTGGAACTAGGAGGCCAAACCCAACCCATGAAAAACAACCCCAC